GAGTTCGGTCCCACCTATCCTAAAATGCTGAACAGGCTGGAAGCCACCAGCAGTGGAATAACCAGTGTCACCCTGTCCTTCCAGGAAAAGTCCTGTGCACAAGCCGTGGTTTTGTCAATGGGGAAGGGTAAACCTAAGCAGGAAAGAGCTGAAACTGTGAGATTAATCTGTTCTCCACAGCTAAAGGTCTAAGAATAGCAGGGGCACTCATTAACCATAAAAACCTGAGTGTAAGTTCATGCACAACAGCACAAGGAATGCTGCCAATGGAGAGCCCAACGGCTCCCAGCCTCAGGGAATCTCCCTTCACTCTTCAATTGCTAAGACTGCTCAGTTCCACAAAACAGAGCTATATTCCTGTGTCACAAATCTCCCAGGCAGAAACTAGACTGATTAAAGCAGCTGCACCAAAACCCCCACAGGAAAAAGCTCTTCAGTCAGTTGACATGAGCCCACTCTCTAGACAACACAGCAGAGACAGCAAAGAAACTTTGGCAAGGACAAGCACACCTGGAATACCTACAGGACTATGCTGGACCATTGCAGGAAACCCTCGGGAAAGCAGCAGCACTGCAGATCAGGAATGATACCTAAAAAGCCAAGCCGTTTGTGACTGTGGGTGTTCTCCTCACGAGGTGCAGCACAGACAGGACACAGGTGACTGACCAACAAGCCAGTCAATGACCTGAGGCCACTGTTCTGTGCCAAGGGCTTGGGGTAAAGGCCATGAGCGAGGACAACACCAAAGGTGTGGTAGAGGCTCAGCACAGAACAGCTATGGCTTCATCAAAGCAGCAGAGGCAAATCTGAAGGCAATGATGAGAAAAGAGCACAGTCAGCATACATCCATAGCTGGTGCTGCAACCATGAGGAGGTAGGAAAAGCCCTGACAAGCACATGGGTTAATTCAGCAGAACTACTCAAAGAAGAGGACTAGAAAACCAAAGACAGCCAAGTGGAGCAGGGCAGAAGCCACATGCTCAAAAAGGCCATGTCTTTAATTTGTCTGTTACAACTTGTATCAGATCATGTTTCTAGCAGTTATTAATATACAAGTCACAACAACTTAGAAGGAAATTGGAGATAAAAAGCACAAAATACAGGATAGGAGAAAGCACAGGATGTCCTCTGAAAGAGCTGCAGTGGCAACATTTTTGTAAATAACTCCCAGAAGCCAACATTTTTCCAAGCCAGGCAGTACAACAAGCCAGCAAACGTCCATGGTGCAAGCTGGACAACCTTGACTTCCTGGAGATCATATATGGCATGTCCAGCCTGCCAGGGCATTGGGAAGAGCAGTCAGCACAAATCCAAGAAATTAGCAACAGCCTGCAATCTCATTTAGCATGCACCATAGCCTTATTCACACTACTCTCAGATTCTCTATACCCATAAACCAAAACACAGACCAAAGAAAAGTCACCTGCACGCAAGACTCCAGTCTGGGCTCTGAGCATTCCATTATACCTAAGGTAAAATAAATTCCTGCACTGCTTACTCCCAGTGTGGAATCCACACTCTTTGTCACTGCTGGATTTCAATTGGCATTCTGGAGATGCATGCCCAGTTCAGGCTGCTTTGGCACAGTAAACACTGTGCATAGCCTCATTTAGTAGAGCTGCTAGGTGTTTTACTTGGCAGCAGCATCAGCCCTGCTCAGGGCTCTGTGTGGGTGAGAGCTCAGCCCTGAAGGCTGCCATGGCTCAGACCCAGAGGGATTAGTGTTATCCATGTGCTAATGTTCACTCCCTGCACAGAAACAGCTGGTGGCTGCACAGAAGGCCTTCTGGTGACCAAACCCCTGCCATCAGCTCAGCCTTTTCTAGTCATTCACTTAATCCAGCGGGGTTTGCTCTATTCCACTCCTTCCTCCCAGAGAGCAAGATTTATCTCATTCCGTGCACTACTTATCCTCTGGCTGAGCGAGGAACAGACCTCTTCCTCCTTTACCTTTCCCACAGCCATTCACTGGTAATGCCCTAATGCTCCTCTTGCAGCTAGCCCAGGGACTGAGACACAATGACCTCCAGTGGTAGATTCCTGCATGCATTTCTCCCCTTTATCAACAGGCTACAGGGACTGCAGCAGTTTTGCCATCAGTTTGTATTTCAAGACCAAAGTTCTCCTAAATTTCCTTTCCTCACAAATGGTTACAGCTTTCCTTTTTCACAGCTAACATTGCACTGATGGCTTTTAATATCTTTAAAAAAAAATAACTTTCATGGGCCATGAATCTGGGCCAATGGCATCAGAGCATTGCAGAGCAAAACCTAAAACCAGGGCTCCCTTCCTTTTCCATTATTTAACAGCACACTTCATACCTACAAAACAGCACATCAATTTTAACTAATGCCTCCTCCCACACTCCTGAAGGTATGGGGAGATATCAATATTTGAAAGACAAAAAGAGGGAAGCTAAGAGTGATTTATTTACTCACAGTCACGCAGATAGTCTAAACAGGAGCTGGAAAAAAACACCTGGAGGTCTATACACTTGGTTATGCTGAAACCTCTTGGCAAGGGCACTTGCACACTGTGTTTTCCTAAGATATACCTCATTACTGCTGCATACAAATAGACTTCTCTGGTCTACGCATAAGAGTTCACAGCGAGTTTGTCCTGGGTAATTTTTATTTCACAAAGAGATTCTTGAATACCTAATTACTAGAAAAAGAACAGAATCAATTCAATACTTACCATATTTATATACAATTCTGTTATTACAAAGTCTGCTTAAATAAACAGAAAACAGTACTAGTAACTGACACCAAATTATAGAAAATTAGGTTCTACCTACAAAACTGGTAGCTATTTTAAGAAACATTTAGAAATGAGAAGATGAACTTAAATAAACTTAGAAAAGAACTTAAGATCCACTATACAGAAAACAGCCACAAGGACTGAGACTAAAATGAGACAAGATCATTGCTCACACCTGCATCACAATTAAAACCTTACTAATCAGTACTTCAATCTGCTTTCTAACTGGAAAACAAAACAGCATCCCAATTTTGTTTCCTGATCATGATAACTCTTGATTAAAACAAGCAAGCATTCCTAGGCAATTCCATCAGAGTATCTCTTACCCAAGGGAAGAGAAAGGGACACAACATCCAAAGGCTGAAAAACAATTCTCACCAAACAGCAGACATCAGTTCAGAAATTTTTCGCATCTCTAAAAGGCAAAAGCCAACACAACAATCCTGGTTTGTGGTAGCCTGGGAATAGATGTAAGCAAAGGAAATACTGACAGGTTCAGAAGGCTGAGGTACTGTTGGAGCTGAGGTCTAAGCCGAGGCACAGGCAGACCAGTCTCAGGCCATCTCTGCTGCTGTCTGTGCTGTGTCTGTCCTACATACAAACAACTGCAGCCTCGTGTGCTCCAGGCCAGCCACTTTCAGATCCCCCAGGAGCTTGGGGGCCAGTGGGGTGTGTGTTTGGGGCTTGGTATTGTTTTTTTCTCCGCAGCAATTAAAAACATTCTTATAATTGGTCATGACTTTGCTCCTTCCAACCCAAACTTGGCAGGCAGAGATTTTGCAAAGCTTTCTGGAACAGGCTGCAGATAACCTGCCACAGAATTTCTGTGTGCTCTCTGTGATGGGTTTCAAAAGAAGTCTTTATTAGAACTCAGACATGTTTACTTCCTTGCAACGAGCACTGTCATTCCAATTCCTGTAATTAAATCCACAATTTTGACAGCTGAAACTGTAGAAATAATTGCACTGTTAGTCAAAATAAGTTGTTACTGTTCAGACTCTTGCCAAGAATGCTTTAAAAGCTTGTACTATGTGTTTCAAGTAAATCTGAACTGAATCTTCATCCATTCCACCTCACTTCCTTTCTGGAGCAAAGATCTTAAAATCTTTTCTTACTGTGCAACCTTCAAGTCCTGCAAAAGATTTTCTGCCAAGCTACTGGCTACTTCCTGTACAACATAAATATTATACAACACTCTTGTACTGAGAATTATCAGACACACAATGCACTTGATGTAATCTTGTGTCTCTGTCCCATGAGTTAATTTCCCACACATGAAAAAACAAAGTGAAGTCAGTTTCTCAGAAATCTTCGAGAATGTTTTTACACCAGATACACTTATAGTACCAGTATTACATATGAGCAATCCACAATATTACTTCTTTCATGAGACAAGAAGCCAACACTATTAAGCACTACGAAGTCTTTCCAACCACTTTTATTTTTCAGCCAATGGTTAGGGAATGCCAGCACAACTCCAGCCATAAAGGAAGAAATCTCATTTCCAACAGGCAGGTAGCAGAAGCACCACAGTAGACAATAAAAAGCTTTACAATAAAATCGTGCCTTCAAAAGCCGACTGTGCACTCAGAAGTGTTTAAAGCAGAACAAAGCAGCTCATAAAACCCAGCACTTGAGATGGGTAGCCTGAAGCTTGTTTTCTGCACCTGGAACAAGAGGCTCAGGCAGCAGCTACTCCACAGAGGTCTCCACTTCTTACTCCAAGCAGGTGAGACTAAAAAACCTACTTTCAACAGTGCAGGATCTGGGATAGGCACCCACAAGACTCAATGAACACACTGAGCAGCTGGAACAAAACCAGGAAGCCACCTGTCACATCCCTAATGCGATTATGGGATGGTTTAGCAACACGTCATTTATAGATGGAGGCCGTCTGCAAAATGCCCTTCTGCCCAGTGCAGTGCCTAGCAAGCAAACATACTCCTCTCCAGGAGGAGTGACCAACAACACCCACAGCACTGTTCTTAGAAAAGCTAAAAAAAATTGGTAAAAAAAAACCCAAACATGCTAGGTAACAAAGTCTAGAATATCCTGGTTTGCAGTGCATAACAGAAACAGATATAAAAAATCACTTGCTATATACAGAACCTCAGTCACATTTGGATTTAATTCAGTGTATTCTACGAAGAACAACTTCTATGAAAAGCATCAGAAAACATTTTTGTGTACCTTAAACCATAATATTCCAGGTTATAATAAAATGCCCTCAGCAGCAAAAATGGTTTTTACCTTTTACTTCCTGGGAACCAAGAAAACATCAATTACAAATCCATGCAGCAAAAAAAAACAATGAAGAGATCTAAAAACCAGTTACCTTGTTCAAAATTAAATAGCAGTTGGGCACAAAATAAATTAAAAACACCTACAAAATACTCTAGAATTCATTGGTCTGATCAAAAACTGGCAAATCATTTGGAAATACTCAGAATCCTTGTCTCTTCAGAATCTGTGCATGTCACTTCCCATCATACTGAACAGACGTACCGATTTATTTAATAATTCCCCTATTCACTAAGTTTATTTGTTCCTCACAACTGAATCACCAGGACTGAGTCGTGCCTCTCCAGAGGCCTCCTATAAAAGAAGGAAGAAGCTGTACTTGGATCGCATAGAAGTTTGGAATGGTTTGACTGTGCACTTCAAAGAGGATTACAAAGTGCTCAAAAATTCTTTGACCTGCAAAGAGAAACAAATATTGTCAATCACACTAAGTGTTTATCAACAGAAGTAGGCAGCAAGTATATTTACCTCTCCTCTGCTTTATGCTTTGCTACAACCTAAACAGGGAAAAAGCAGCTCTGGCTCGGCCATGCCATTACCTGTCCATCAAGAACATTTCCAGACATGGTACCTGTAATTTGGCAGATGCAGGGAGAACCACGATGGAATGATGCTCACCTCTCCTGTGGTCCTGAACTAGAGCCCTCTGCCACAAAGGACTGCATTACAAGCAGGTGTCACCCAGACAGGAGGAGGATAATGGCCACCTCAAAAGAGCTGTCATTTGGAAACCATAGAGTCACGCCCACTGCCTGCAGCACACCAGTCAGATTTAATGCTGGTGAACAACCCAGGGCACCTAACCGGGATGTCCCTCAGAACCTGAGGCTGGCAAAGAAATAATGAAACAATACCTACCAAAACCACACTGCTCAGAGAAAATCCAATACTGGAGATCAGTGCCAAGCTCACAATGCCTGCCTTTAAGTTTCAGGAACATCCTTGGAACTAGGCTGTGACACAGCCCAAACTGGGAGTATTTTCTCCTGTCCACTCAAGCCAGGCTACTCCCAAAAGGAACCATTTTTAGAGGACATGATGCTATTCTTTTGACAAAGGCTCTCTCTCCTACACAGAGCCCATCTGCAAACACTTTGTCCAAATTCTTGATGTGAAATGGAAACAGATCTTGGATCACACTCTCCAACTGTGACCCTCCCCTTCCCAGGTCAGGGCTCAAAGAGGTGGGGAAAAAAAGAGGTCAAATCCCTTCCTGTAGAGAAGGGAACACCTAACTGTGCCAAGACTAACTTGAAAGGCACCATGAGAAAGCCAATCTCTGCTTCAGAGAGTAGCACCAGTAATCCTGCATGGAAAATCCTGTCAGGATTTACATACCAGGCCCAGTATCAGGATGACCATCACAGCAGAGGGAAGAAGAAAAGACAAGGGTCTGGGTCCTCACACAGCACAATGTACCCAGCCTCATCAAGTGTATCTCTTCCCTGGCTCCATTTAGGAAATGCCAAAAAATAGGGCAAACACAGGGCATAGGCTGCTGCCAGATAACCCGATAGCTACCCCAGAGAAAACTCCTGCAAAATCCATGCTAAGTTGCAGAGCTTGGCCTTATCTCATCTTGTGCAGATGGGAAGCATGCTCCCTCCACAGCTGCCATCTCCGGTCATTCCATCGATTAACTAGCTCAGCCAGCAAGACTGGTTTTAATCAGGTGAACACTTCCACTCCTAGGTGGATCAATGGAGATCAAAGGACAAAGCTGCTTTTCTTGTGAAGGAACACTTGATTTCTGAAGAATGGAAAAACATGTGCAAACCATGCTGAGGTCTGTAAGTCATTGCAGATATTCAGATCAAAGTCAAGTTGTCCTCACGTGACTCCCACTGGGATTCAAGTACCGAACACCTGAGCAGTTAAATGATAAAGGTTTGGCCTACCTTTAAAATAAGCATTGCCATAGCATGTAAAACTGTTCATTACCTGAACGGAACTCTGTGACTTACATATTTTAGAAGGATGATTAGAGTGTAAAGTCTATTTCCAGAGCAACATGAATCATTTGTTTGTACTGCTTATGAAATTTTACCTTTTCGATCATGTGATCATATCTGTCCTTTTTGCCTTTGAAGTCTTCGTTAACATCAAGCGTTAAAATCGGAATTTCCTGAAGATAGTCAAAATTTGTTCTGTATTGGGAGAGGAACAAAGCAAATATTAGTAACTGGAAATAAAGGAGAGAGCAGTCTATAAATTACAGCCAAGAATTCTGAATTTACAGCATGGCTCCTGGGACACACCAATGATTCCCAGACATTCTCCCCCAGCACCTAATGGAATAACAGCACGTTTTGTGTTAAAGCCAGTTCAGCTGAAGCCTATGCTGCTCAGAGCTCTGCGTGAAGAGAACTTGTCATTCCAGCGACAATCAACATGCTGGAAAGACACTACTACTAAGGAAACACTGATAGAAACATGCCTGCAGCTCATATTTACATATCGTAAGAAAAGCTGAGGTTTCACTGGTAGAAAAAGCCACAGAACATCCTTACAAGGATTTATCCATGCCCAAGGAACCACTCAACAAACCCTACCGCAGTGTCCTGTGCTGGAGCCAGCTTTCATGTTTGTAGTGAAGCTTCTCCAGATATTCAATGGGGATTTCTTGTTCCTCATCTCTTCCACGCAAGTAAATCCTATTCAAACATTTCTAAAGGCAAAATATAATAAATAAAAACAAGTAAATTGCTGTATTGCATGCCAAGAGCACGGAACTATCCAAATTTAAAATAACCAAACATTTAAAATCATTTGTTCCCATCCTGAGCACACCTAAAGTCTCAACAAGCCAAAATTGCTTAAGTGTTGTACTTTGCAATTTAAATATACATTCTTTTCTTAAATTCAAAAACAAAAAGCCCTCAGAGTTACTCCAGTGTGTTACATTCCACAGTTTTTTACAACCATAACAAAACTGAATGGAAGCTGGCAGCAAGAAACTATCAAAGTGATCTGTAAGTTCATCAGAGCTCTTTGAACCTCATGTTTTTCTCTTGTTCATGCAAATTTCACACTCAAAGGAGGTATTATTCTGTTCTCTCCTTTTAAACAAACATTAGATGGACCAAGATAAAAGCACGGTCATAAGGCCTCGCATACAGGGTGTGCTTTCACCTGGCTTAGCTCCAGCACTCCAGGTATGGGGGCTTCACAGACCACCCCCACATCAGCTGTAACATTACTGGAAACTGTTATATCCATTCCCTGTACAGCTATATTCCCCACGTAACAGCTATTCCTAGAGGCATTCTGTACTTTCCTGCAGTCGCTTGCTTTATTCCAGTGGTATTTTCTAGTTTACTGTTCTCATGTATTGTTTGTAAAATGAGAAAATCATTACCATCACAGCTCTCTTTCATTGTCTACACACTGTCTACATCCGAAAGAACAATTTATTTTTTTTTTTGTACTTCCAGACCTAGTCACAGCTCAAGTACTGCAGCCTTCAGGGGAGCAGCGCAGCCTGAGCTGAGCTCTAACAGGCCCAGAACACAGACTTGTGTTGGGTGCTGTCACATTCGTAGCCCTCACCTCAGGAGTGGCTCGGAGATAAATGATCCCATCCAGAGCCAGCCTCGAGCCAAACTGTTTATTCATCCAGTCGTGCCAGTCCTGGTAAATTGCCCACTCGGTCTCGTTCATGCAGTCAGACTCGTATAAATTAGCAGCAAAGATGTACCTGTGGATATTGAAGCGACGGAAACAAAACTTCTCTTGGACACAGGAATCCCTCGGATTGCCTCAAACACAGTGACTAGAGAAGAAGCTGAGTGGTAACACTGCAGCATCTCTGACCATCTCCTGGAGTGGAATAAACAGCTGGTACTCTGCCCCTGGAGCTGTGTACATGAAGACCACCAACATTTGCAATTCAGGTGAACAGGAATAACCCACATAACACTCATTTATTTACAATAAATTAAAACACATTAATTCATGCAATGTATTACAACAGGGGGAACACCTAAGGATAAAGGGGTGGGATTCAGTGACCAGGTCTCACCTCCTGAATCCAGAAACACAGGATGGGGCATTTATTTGGACATTTTCCTGCTGGCCATAAACTAAAGCACAAGAAGTGCTGCCTCAACATGAGGAAGAACTTCTTTCCAAGAGGGTGGCCAAGCACCGGCACAGCTGCTTAGGGAGGTCACTGAGTCTCCCTCTAGAAGCATTTCAACCACCTGGACACAATCCTCTGCCACCTGCTTGAGGTGACCCTGCCTTGGCTGGGGGCTTGGACTGCAGAGCTCCCTTCCAAGCCCACACATCCTGTGATTTGACTCGGGAGAGGTTTCCCCTGCCCCTCGAGGGCTCCTACCTGTCGCTGTAGACGGAGCGCTCAAAGAACACCGCGGGATTCTGCGCGTCCCCGCGCTTGTGCTCCAGGGCGCCGAGCTGAGCCCGGATCCTGCTGAGGCAGGCGTACGTCTGGAAGGTGAAGGCCCAGCGCTCCGGCTTCTCGTACATCATCCGCAGAACGTTCCCGCCGCTCCTCTGTGATGTGCTCAGCTCCTGGGCCTGCGGGAAAAGGAACAGACTGCTGATCCCGGAAAAACGCAGCTGAGGAGAAGCCAGGAGCAAGGCGTGCCCACTCAGTTTTACACCGAGTTAACCAAACGGCACTGTGCTTTCTGCCAGGTCTAACAAAGTTCTCCAGTCCCTCAAAAGCCACCTGCACGGGAAGCAGCAGCTGGATTGCCAATGGATTTACAGGCAACTAGGGAAAAAAATCCCACCACTAACACCAAGTGAGCAGCAGCTCTTGATTTCCTACGCACACTTTTCATGGCACAGAAACAAGCCTCTCCACTCACCTGGTTAATTCACAGGGGCTACAGGTAACTCTTTACCATTTTACCACTTTCAGAAATGACATCTGATGTTGAATATTTATTCCATAATAGACCAAACAGACTGGAAAAGAGGAACTCAAGACATTGGGAAAGCAATCAGCAAAAGCGTTGCTATCACACAGAGTCTGCAAAATACTCAGCTGGATATACTGGTATGCTGAAATCAGAGGTACATTTGGCTTTTTTTTCCCTCTTTTACCTCACAGTCGTCTCCAGAGCTTTGCTGAACATTGCACCATCTAGCTACAGGCTCGGGAACCACTTCCCACTCCTCACTGGCTTGTTTCAGAATATTCACAAAGGTGGATTTCCCTGCAGCTGTAGGAGAAGCATCCAGGGACAACGTCAGTGAGAAATCACCCACAGCAGCGTTATTTCTAATGCTCAACACTGCCTTCCACCCCCATAAACCACCCTCCCGCACCCACCATGAGCCAGATCAGTTAATGGAGCAACAGGGTTTTAGGTCATCTGAATTTAAACAGGTTTGACAAGAGGCACCTGGTGATATTTTGAGGTGTCCTGTGCAGGGCCAGGAGTGGGGGTCAGAGATCCTTATGGATCCCTCCTAACCCGGGAATTTCCGTGATCCTGGGCGCTTTCAACCACAAACGGGAAAGATGTGCAGAAAAGCTTATCCCGGACTTCCACACCAAACAGGTAAATCAGTTAAAAACTGTAATAGAAAGCTTTGGTTTTTGTCCCCTCTCTCAAATCTCCTTTTTTTTTGCGGTGTCAGGGTAAAGTCTCTGACATGATGAATTGGCTTTCGTTTGTCCCTCCTGACCCCATTAAAAGCCTTTTACGGAGGGAAAGGGCCAAGAAAATCTTGTGGCCCCGCTCTGCCGTAGTGGAAGGAGCCCTCACACAAGGTAAAGGGGGAAAAGGAGGATAAAAGAAGAGAAAAAGTGTGGGAAATAGAGGGAAAGAGCAAAGAGGGGAAAGAGAGATTGAAGGGAAGAGGTAAGGCAGAAGCAGAAGGGAGGAAAGAAATCAGACAAGACAGGAGGCAGGTAGGCAGTGAGGAGTCCGCAGAGCCGTGCCTCGCCCAGACACGGCCGAAAGCACCGAGCGCCGCGGAAGCCGCCAACTCGCCCTTTGCCCGTCCCTTGCTCCCCGCGCAGGAGAGAGGCGCCGGCTCACCGATGTTGCCCTCCACGGCGACCTTCCTGAGGCGGCCGTCGGGCCGGCTGCGCTTGGGCGGGGTGGCCATGGCGGCCTGAGGGGGCGGGCGCGAGCCGCGGCCTGAGGGGGCGCGAGCCGCGGCCCCGCGCGCGCGCCGCCTTCAAATTTGGCGCGCGACGGCGGCGGGACCCCGCCGGGGCGGCCGATGACGTCACCGGCCGAGGGCCGCCGCAGGGGAGAGCAGCGGAGCGCGGAGCGCATCGATGGCGCCGCGAGCCGCTGCCGGTTTGTCGGCGCTGCCCCGCGGGACGAAGGGAATGGGAAAAGAGGGACAAAGGGACAAAGGGACAAAGGCACCCTCCGGCCACCGAGTGCCTTAAAAACCCCTCCGGGAGTGGCCTGGCACTGGCACGAGAGCTGCCTTTAACGGAGATCGGCGGCACTCGAATTTAGAGGGTTGTTACTGAAAATAATTGGGAAGACATTCTTAACTTTGGGAAGGAGTTCTTGGCTCTAGGCTGGAATTCTTTACTTCAGGAAGGAATTGTTCCGTGGGAGGGTGGGCAGACCTTGGCACAGGGTGTCCAGAGAAGCTGCGGCTGCCCCTGGATCCCTGCAAGTGTCCAAGGCCAGGCTGGACAGGGCTTGGAGCAGCCTGGGACAGTGGGAGCTCTCTCTGCCCTTGGCAGGGGTGGAATGGGATGGGCGTTAAGGTCTCTTCCAAAGCAAACCAATGTGGGATTCTATGAAACTCTAAAACCTCCCAAAGAGACACCGAACCCAAGGAGAACCAAGTTAAACGGGGAAAAATCCTGAGCCAAGGGGATGGGCACCAGCAGCAAGGCAGTTGTGGCCCCCGATTTGTGGGAAAAAATTCAAGTAAAAGCCAGATTTTCAACCACCTTGTTCCAAACTGCCCTCCAGCCGGGTGTGTGAGCAACTTACCACGGGGCAGGGCACTCCAGAACCCCTGCTGGGTGGCAGGGCAGGAAATCTGGGGTGCTCCAGCTGTTGGGGTCTTGGGAGAAAGAAAAGCCAAAAAAAAGTCACCTGTGCCGCTGGGCAGGGCCAAAAGTGGAGTCTGCAGCTCCTGGGGCACCGGCCAGCCAACAACACCCTTGGGTTTGGGTGTGTCCTGCTCAGATGTCTCCAATATACATGGGGGTTGGGAAAAATCTATTTACAAGTAGGAGACCATTGAGGAGCAAGCCCAAGAAGGAAATAAAGAAGACAGTCATGGTCAAACATAGCTATTTATTTTCTCTTATAAACAGCCTTCAGTTTCTTATTGAAAAAAAAACCCTAGGATTTAAATATTTTGCCCCATCACATACAACCATCTGTATACATTATTTACAACTCTCAAATAAACACGGTGCGGATTTTCAGACATTCAACTTATTCTTTTTTGATCAAAAGCTGTTTTCATTTAGAACTGAAATCTCCATCAGTGACTACAAACTGAAGCGGTATTGGCACAGTTAGCTCACAGTAAGGGTTCTCTCCTTGCATTTTTATACATTACACTGCTTTTTCTCCCACATTTTCAGGATTCTCAAGGAGGAGGAAAGGTTAGTGTCGCTCTCAGAATTAATTTCTTTTTTGCCTTCAAAAATGGCCTTTCACTGAAGCCTCATTCATTTTTACTGAAACCTCGTTGGTTTTTATTCAAACCTTGTTATTGCATCCTTCTCTCTCTCTCTCCCAGTGCACATCAGGGCATGTGCCTCTACACCACACAACCACAGCATTCCCAAGCAGTCCAACAGCCACGACAATAAATGCTCCCTCCGCGACACGGCTCGGAAAATTGTCCCCAAGTTGCAAACGTACAAAAATAATGAGTATAGTTTAGTGGCTATAAAAAATTAATCTCCCCTAAAAATACAATATTCTATGAACAATCTGGGGAATCGGTTCTTCCAACAAAATAAGGTAATTGGGTATTTTCCTAGGCTGCAAACTGAACCTGGCAAGAGGAAATCATTAGAAATGCGGGGAAAGAAGAAGGATTAACACTGAAAATCACCAATGTTAGTCTCGTGTTAAAAGAGAAGATATGCAGGAAAAAACGATGGGCATCCATAAAACTGCCAGTGGTTTCAGGAGTGAGGGATTGGAAAAGAGACAACTGCTACCAGCAGTGAAGGAAACGAGATCCGGCACAGAAGGGAATAGTTTAATGGGGAAAAAAAGCAAGGAATCTCTGCTCGTGCTGCAGCTCCTCAGATAATCCAGCCAAAAGGGGGGTTATGTACAGTAACAGCACTCTGGGCAGGCAGGAGAGGAGGAGAGGGCAGCAAGGAAAAGCACAGCTATCCAACAGGATGTGTTCATAGCAAAACTGTGTCTGGTGACCCGGGAGAAAGGAAGGGGGGTGAGAAATAGAAAGGAACAATCTGAAAGGTAAGTTGAGTCCATAGCAGCAAGTAGGTGTCCTTACCTGGTAACTAAGGGTCAGGGACACTGGGAGAGGGCTCAGTTCCCAAGGACTGAGTAAGGATACTGCTCCTCTCCATCTCCATGGTAAAGCAGAAGTTCAAAGCTCTACGTTGCATAGTAAGCAGGAAAAGAAACTGGATACTTGCAGATGGGCTGCCTGCCCCTCAGAACCTGCTTTGTCTCCTCAGCCTCCGGCAGCAGCAGGCAGCGGTGGTTTGGTTCCTCTTTGCATGAGTAACTTGTATCCCTATCTGGGACTGGAAAGACTTGGCCAACACATCCCATATCCATCCACTGCCAGCTGAGCTCCGTGGGCTCAGCCCTTCGTCCCTTCCCAGCTCCAGGGAGGAGTCACCACCCAGAGCCCCGACAACATCCAACGTGCTGCTAGCAGCAGAGCATCACAAACCACAGGAATTCGGGACCCCACCAGACTGGAAGGCCTGAGGCAGCCCTGGAAGCACAGCCTGCTTCAACCCCACTGGCACTTTCTGCTCCCCATGAGCAAAACTGGGAGGTTTTGTCCCCTAGTGCTCGTCACCCCTCAAAGTCCAAAGTGAGGGCGTGGAGTAGAGCAGGGTTGGCTTCTCTGGGGTTTATGTGGAGGGGCAGGGGGTGTCCCCTCCCTTCCACCCATAAATGCACTATTTTATAAACACATTCACTCGATCCAGATTCCAATGAGTGGCATTTCCATGTGCCCTTACTCCGAGAGTGTAAACACATGTCAACGTCTGGTCCCACAGCTTTCAGAAGCAAAACAACAATGAAAAGCTGCAAAAAGAAACAGCACAGGGATCCAAAATCCCCACCACTGCAAACATGTCCTCAATGATGTTATTTTCAAGTGTTGTGTAATTAAACAATGTGTTCATACAGCTGTCAGGCAAATCATGATCTCCAAGCTTTTATTACGTGCCTAAAAACTATTTGGTCAAAGACTTTCTATTGCCAGATATTGAATTAAAAAAACCACACTATCCACCTAAGACTCATTTTTATACATTCCAATTCTGATGGGCTGAACTGCAGCAGATGCCTCTGGATTTCTAGAATTGGCTGTGCAAAATAAAAAAACTGCAACAACAACAAGAACTAAACCCTCCTAGGGCGGAAGCGTGCCAGGAACGTGAACCACTGCACTGCCGTGTCCAAGCAAATCCTCATTTCTACACCTTTATCTTTCCTGCTGCTTGCTGGCACATGACACCAAACCAAGGAGTCACCCTGAAATGGGAAGCATCCCCTGTTTAGCACCTGGGAGCTCCTGCCTTGCTCACTCCGTGTCCAAACCGAGCAGTTGGAATTTGGGAGATGGGTGGCTTTGGCGCTGTCGTGCGGATGGTGGCACAGGAAAAGCCAGAAGTTCAGGATCCCTCACTGGAACCCAGGAGCTCTCAGGTGAGTCACTTCTAGGCTCAGCTGCTCCCTGCTGGCCGTGCCAATGGCCTCTCACTCACCTCTCCTGCAGGCTCCTGCACACCAGCCCCAACTCGACTGCGTTTTTGGTTGAGCCAAGGCATGCAAAACAGAAGCTGGACTTCTCTACCACGTGCTCACCTTGGCCTCCCCTGTTCCTGCTGCTTTTCCCAACAGCTGGAGCTCCCTGAAGATGGGCAGTGGTTTTAAAAGAGGGAGAACACCACCACAGTAACATAACTCCAAAGCAGCCCCAAAAATTATCTCCCGTCCAAGGTAGATTTCCTCAAACAGCAAACACTGACCACCAGAGCCCCTCCTCAGAGCCAGGCTTTGCATTCCTAACTTAAAAACACCTTTCCAGTAGTTATTTTTCAAGCCAGGTTTCCCTTATTATTATTATTATTACTACTATCCCAGTGCAATTTTTTAATAGGGAATATTTTCCCTAATTTTATTTGTGCAAACTACTTGTTCATTTGGCAACTGCTAGGGGAACTTAACAAGCTGGCTGACCCAACTGATGCTCTCCTGCTAAGAAAATAAAAGCAAATATGCAAAGTCCCAGGCAGCAGGCATGCAACTGCTTGCTAAGCACAAGGCCTGTGTAATTTCGACACCACCTTCGCCGTTTCACTTCAGCAAGAACTTCGCTTTTCTTCATAAGAAGTAATCTAGTTTTGAAAAATTCTATATTCATCTCTAAAAAAATAAGACAAGTATCTGTATTAAAAGCTGGAGATCATTGATTTCAGCAAGTTATGGCTTTTTTTTTTTCTAGTGTAAGCATAGATATATATTTTTAAAACAAGTAAGTGTCTGGGTGTTAGTACATATTTTCTGTTTCCAGCAATGTTCAGTATTGTATGTGCTTTGCACCTCAGAAGTGAGTCTGCCAAGGCACTTGGAAAATGTAAGCAAGTCTTCCAGGGACTTCATGAGAATGGGCTACCACTGACACAACACAAGAACCCATCCACCAGCAGAGTCAATCCCTCAACCAAGCACGTTTCCTTAATAAACACTCAGCACCTGCTAGAAATTCCACAATGAATAACAACAGTAAAATAATATTAATAAAAAAAAAGCTATTTACCACATGTCACTAACAGAGAAAAGATTTCCCCTAATAAAAGCACAGAAAGTAGATCTTAGCTGTCACTGGTAACAGCAGAGGGGGGTTGTTTTGTTGTTTTTTTTTTTTAAAACAAATTAACAAAAAACAAA